CGCTAATCTCTCGCTTCTTCGACTTTCTGACATGTCTCAATAGGTTGATTCGGTAAAGGCGTAGAAGGATCAATTAATGTTGTGTTTTACCTGAAGTATCTAAGTTAAATCCGGCTCGAAGGACCAATTAATGTTGTGTTTTACCTGAAATATCTAAGTTAAATCCGGTCTCGAAGAACGAAATATTGAAATTCAATGTTAGTCAAAAAAGTTTTTTTTTTATTCTCCTTGTTTTTGTTACAACAACTGAAATATAAACTAAATATAATTATATACAAGGTAAATGAGAGAGTAAACAAATAATAATGAATACAAATACTGAACATTTATTATATGAAAATAAAAGGCGAAGTTCAATTTACATGATGACAAGTCATCATTCAATTACTCCAGGTGCTACGAAGTCGGTGAAAGATGGTTGATTAGATCCGTTCTTTAAATTGTTATCCATTAAAAAACTTTATATTTCATCTTTCCTCGAATTTTTATTCGGTACTTTGATGAGCAGTCGCGAATGAGGAAGCGTTGTCAAGAACTATTACACTATTCGCATCCAAATTTGGGATCAATGGTTTTCAAACCATTCCTCGAAAATATTAGTTTTCATGTTCTTATGATAGTCAACATTGCAGTCCTCAAGTTTTTTTCCACAAAATTTCAAAGAATTCGGAACCCATCCTTTACTTCCTCCGCAATGCACAATGATTAGTCACGATCCTTTTTTTTGCAGGCATGTTAGGCGTACACATTCTCGAACCATCAGTCCACCCTTTCGTAATTATGTCGTGAGTGTTATACCAAGTTTCGTCCAAATAGAAAATTTTCCGTTGTTCTTGTCTATATTTAGTTATTTGTTCTAAGTATTTGTTACACAATTCCACTATTCTTTTGCTTTCCATAACTGTTTGACGTTTGTTTATTATTCAAATCTGAATCCTAGTTTCTTTATCCAATTCTGAAGAGTTGTCACAGCAGCACACGTTATGGCCAAAACTATTCCATTTCTTCCTTATGATTTCAATTGTAGGAATCTCATCGCTTTTGTAACAGTCGTATACTGTTTCTTCAATGATTTTATTAGATGAACATCTAAAAGTTTTGGTAATCCTGTATCACATCGTGTCTTGCGTTCATAATTTGACTAATTTACATATAGTTGAGAAAGGAATTTCGGCCGAATCTGATGTTGCTTGTAATAGTTTGTTTTCCTCGAAACCAAACTTGAGATGTAGATTCTTATATACGTTAAAACATACTCTCTGTGTTTCAATATTCAAATGCATCCGAATTTTATTCACTGGTATCTCTTTTTCGCAATGTTCACCATCGCTATTGGAATCACTACAGAGGAAAAAGTCTGTGTTGTTATCACACTCGTTACTACTATTAGTACTTGCCCAAGGATAGACCATTTCCAACATATAACAAAAATTTTAAGTAATTATAACAGCACCACTATCGAATTCCAACATTCAAATCGCGATCAGTTCCTGAACTGAACATTGACAACACGACGGCTCGTATTCTATTCGTCACCGTAACATGACTTCAAAAAATTTAATTTTATGACTCTTCAGCCAATCATAAAACACGGTTAGTAAAAATCATCCAATACGAACCACCAATTATTCAGTCCACGTGTACTAGTTGGCAGCAGCTTTATTTCTTTGTATTGATTTTTTTGGCCTTTGAGGGCGCCGACAGTTTAAGTATGGACAATACCAGTTACTTCGACTATACTAATCGTTAATACTCTCATCGATTTACCCAAAGATATCTGAGCCAAGTGGTTGACCCTTTTGTCTATATTTATGACCCCGACCAGTGGTGATTTTTCAAGAGTTACAGTGAACATGTTCTTAGCCGATGCGGGCAGTCTGTTCAGGGATTTCCGCTGGAAACTAATCCTAATTCAGATTCTCCTTGCCACGAGGATATACTGTTATTTTTTGTTTGTTCATATAAATTTTATTATTTGTAAACGCTGTGTCCGTCTGATTAATAATTCACCTACCACCAGTCCCGACACATACTTATTCTCCGAAGTTTTCTACATTGTTGGAAAAAACTGTGTTATATTTTTAGGAATGATTAATTTTTGAGAAAGAAAGTTTTTGGCTTTCTACTATTCCATCTTGATAAAAAAGTCTGGAAATCTTCCAAATGAAGGAAGGAAGCAATCAATTTGAAAATAAGTAACTATACATGGATGTGTAGATCATGCGGCGAAACATCGGTGTCTACCAGCGAGGACGACAGTGTTCCATGTAAGTGCAATTTGTTACCATTCATTTAAAGTAGAACTCTTGTGATTGATATCTGATTTTATTCCATAACGAATGTTTGGAATAAAAACTGAGTAGAGAAAAGTATCTTATGTATAATTCAGTGTTCATATAAAAGTATTTGTTTCGAAAGAATTTTTTTATTCTTTCGTGTAATTCAAAGTTTATATGAAAGTGACAGGAGGGATTTCTTCCAGTTTGTGTCTGAAAGTTGCTTCTTTGCATGATCTACACATCCATGTATATTTACTTATTTTCAAATTGATTACTTCCTTTCTTTCTTTGGAAGATTGCCACATTTTTTTATGGGGATGGAGTAGAAGAAAGCCAAAAACTTTCTTTCTCAAAAATTATCAACTATTTTTGATGTGTTATTTATTTGGGATTGGTTACTAAGAAGCAATCTCACTGTTATCCAATTAATGTTCATTACCCATAGTTATTGTTTATGGGTTTCGATAAGATAACATGTTCGGTTGTATATTGAATCTATTTTGAATTTCAGTAGAGTTTGTTGGCTCATTGAAAGAAGGTGCTTCATCACCGTTAAATTATTGGTTCATTTCCAAACATGTTTGATCTGTCTGAAGGTGACAAAAAGTTTGCAGAAGAGAACCTGAACGAAACGAAAATTATCAGAGAGCATTGTCTCTCAGAAATCAAAAAATGGTTGCAAGAGGAAAATCAAAATTTACATGCCCGACTGGAAGATGTATATTTACTTCCGTTTCTGCGTGGCTGCAAATTCGATTTGGAAAAAACAAAGAAGAAGTTGAAAAACTATTATGCAATGCGAAGGGATATTCCAGAATGGTTTGAAAATAGAGATCCACAGCTAGATACAATGCAAGAGTTGATCAAATTGGGAATATTTGTTCCCTTGCGAAAGACCCATAAAAACATGTTAGTTGTTATTATTAGGGTAGCCGCACACAATCCATTACTGCATAAACAGGATGACGTTTTCAAGGCCGGAAATATGATGTTGGACGTCGCCTCAATGGAAAATGTCATTTCTGCTCAAATTTATGGAGTGGTTTCGATTTTCGATATGGCAGGGATAAGTTCGAATCATGGCAAACAGATGACACCAGGAATGATAAAAAAGGCCGTGTTCAGCTGGCAGAACTACCATTGTAAACCAAAGCAGCTCGAATTCATCAATGCTCCGGTTTTCATAGGAGTCGTTTTGAATATATTCAAGAGTTTCATGTCCAAAAAAATGAGAGATAGGGTAAGAGTACATTTCAATGGGATTGAGTCTTTATATGAAGCTGTCGATAAGGATATTTTGCCAGTGGACTACGGAGGAAATGGTGAAACTATGTCAGAATTGATTAAGTACTGGAACACCAAGTTTTTGAGTTATCGAGACTGGTTTCTAAATGATGAACAATTCAAAGCCGAGTAAACCTATCTTTTCTTTTCGGTGTCTAGCAAATCAATTGATGCTTTCGGATTTCTCGTCAGTGGTCTGCAGGTTTTTTACCTGGCGTTTCATCTGCAACTGCGGCAGACATTGTCAAAGGCGATAAGACAATGCTTGAAGTGATCTACCCAGTAGCAATACGGAAAAGTGGTTTTAAGTTAATGTATTTATTTCGGAAATCGGACGTCCGCTTTTTGTACCTGCTCGGTCTGACTCAACTTGAATTATTAGAAGAATATGTGTGCTCGATATTTTATCGATACTCAAGCTCTACATTTTATTTAGGACGTGTTCCACTACATGGTACATCAGTTGAAATGGTAGGCAAACTATTCTATAATGTATTTTGTATAACAGTAGGTTATCACAAAACTCAATTGGATGCATGATTATTTTTAGTAAAACGGGTAGATTTTGAAAAACCAATTATAGTACTATATTACTTCTAGAAAAACAAGTAATTTATCAATATGTTGATCATTGACATTTTATGAGAACAGGTCAAATGATGGTAAGCGAATAACGCTTAAAAAAAACTTTGTTCATGTTTATTGATTTTCAGAAATGTTCAATTTTTGTCCTTTATTTTCTGTATGTAATATATCCATGTTCAAATCGTGGTTGTTCTCTAAAAGGACCTTATTATTGGTATCATGTGAATATTCTCACAGAGTTTTATGTTTCCCATACAAATGCAAGATGAAATTCTCAAATGGAAATGGAATTGAGCAAAAATTTACACATCTCTCAAAATAGATAGCTGGAATTCGAAAGTTTACCAATCAAATTACTGTGAATCTTGGATTTCTATGTTGAACATATTGAAGAAAGATGAAGGGGTGTCCGGAATTTGTTCATTTAATCTTTTTGAAAAGGAAATTCACGATTTCATTTCAGGCAATTTTGGAAAATTTTGTTTAGTATTTCGGTAGCAAGCAATACCTGAAAATACTAATAAATTTCAGGTCAAGATTTGTTTTCTTCACAAAGATAATTGTTATATTACAGAAGTACATACTCACTGAAGCTCAAACCTTTGTGGCGTAGAATAAATCCAAAACAATCTTTTCCTAATCACCAGAAATGCAATACTCTTCTCGTCGCGCAAAATTTCTACAAAACTCAAGAGATATACAAAAAACGACATAGGATAGTATATTCTTTGCAACTGTTAACCACAATAATATGCGCTTCGTGGTGAAACCCTTGAGAATATTTCAAATGACATGGATATAGGTAAGTGTTTATTATTACCATGGATTTCAGAGAATGAACGTTTCCATATCTCTGTGGAAAATATCATGGAAAAACGAGCTTAGGTCTTATGTCAGTGATTAGAGAATCGAGTCCCAGGAGTATACTTGTAGTTCTTTCTACAGCGGAACCACGAGAGGATGCTAAGATGCTTAAAATCGTGCGAATCAGGCCGAGCAGGTAGGAACTCAAGCGAACGTCTGACTTGCGGTCCCATTATGAATACCAACATATCAAGAACACTTTTCAGTTTGTCTATCGTACGTAAACCATTTGCGCATCGCTTTCCATAAAGTCTGCTGCTGTTGCAGGCCAAAAAACCTGTAGTTCACAAATGAGAAACCCGATAACTTAAAAACTTCTATCATATTGTAACATTTTATTCAATTATTGTATTCTGACGTTATGCTGAATTTATGTGTTCCTTGGATTCTTTTTTCAGTTCATTGGAAATATACAGTAGGTATCTAATGTGACATTTTATTGTGATTCATTATCAACATCAAGGCACAGGCACAGCCCTGAGAGCGCCCTTAGGATTTTCCTGTAGTGTTTGTGTTTTGTCCTTAAAGAAAAGAGAATGATTCACACATAGTTCATAAAATTCAAATTTCTTTCGATTCTTAGATAATATGTTTGGAATATTCTTTATTTCTTTTCAGTATCTCCTCTGTATGTTTTAAAGTAAATCTAATGAAAATCATTTCAACCTGATGCAGACTACAAACTGCACTTTTTACTTCATCAATGAAGTGATAGATCATGAAATATGGAAATTGAAACTTTCTATGATTTTACCACATTTATTTATTACGTTACTGCTGTTTCGGCCTATAAGGACATACGTTAAACTAAAAATGATCGATTTCATTAGCCCTTATATAACACCAGTGTAGGTAATAACAGAGGTATTTAACCTAATTGATTACCTGAATTTTATTTATCTGTGACAATCTAGATACGCTAATTTGAAAACCGGTGAGTAAACTAGACCGATTTGATCATTTAACAGGTTGCACCCGCAATGGTTACATCTATCAATCCATTGAAGTGATACATATCAAAAAGATAGATAAGGTGTCCCAACTGTGAACATTAAAAATATTTTCTCCTCCTCCCTCTTCAGTTCTCTCAAAAATTATTGCCTCGGACACGACATTATGAAAAATAATATTTACTTGATAAGATTGGAAGAAGTCACCAATTATGTCAGCTCTATCCAAATTTGGTATGAGTGTCTCAAACATAAATAATAAATTTTTGACTGGAATAACCACACATCTGCCCATTGATTCCTCCAAAATATCACCATAGGCTATAAAACAACGTAACTATTACATCGCACAATATATGCTAAAATCCGCTCTGTTCATGTAGCGGCGTGTCACCATGGTCTTAAAATATACAAAAATTGCAATGATATAACATGCCACTGTGTCTAATGATTCTAGAATGCCAGACCACCGCTCGACTCCATGCAAAACAAAACCAAAATTCCTCTATTTTTCATTTTCGTTATAACACTAGTGAAATCTATTTACAATGAATACAGAAACATACGGAAGTCAGGGGAGGGTAGAAAGGTGGATAGGTATGAAAAGGGGGGAATGGCTGAAGGATGACTCAACTGTTTTGCTCAGAAAGACGACAAAAAACACGCCATCATAGAGTCCCACGATTGGACAGTAAGAGGCGCCTCTGCTGGTGTTGGCGGGTGGCTCCCTACTCAACAGTTTCACTCCAGCCTCTGTCTATGCCATCTCGCTTCCTGCCGAAGCTTACGCGAGAGTTATTTTTGCGTTTCGATTTCGATATGCCTATCTCATTTCAGTCTATGCACGCTAATGTTAGAGTTGCCTGGAACCCCCTGGAAAAAGTTAATGAAAAACAGGTAAGAGTAATTCGTTGATCACGCTAAGGCGTGAATTGTCTTATCCAAATTTTTCCATGAACCAAGTGCCATCGCGTTCGCGCCATTCGCGGAAGATATCTAATGAATCATAGATCAGCCCGTGTTTACGGGGCTTGTCAGCGTGCTTTTTGCCAGAAAGAATTTGAAATATTTCTGAGACAGTCTCTTGTTATGTTCAGTGACTGTCTCAACTTCAGCCAGATCTAACAGATCAACCAATGAAATGTATCTTTCACTATTCGTGCAAATACTGAGCACCTTATTCTGCATCTTGTCGAGTCTCCGTAGCTACAGAATATGGGACAGACGTACAACATAGCTGGTCTTATTTAATTATTTATAAATAAGCAACTTATTGTCAACACTGAGCTTGGAGTTCCGTGCAATGAGCGGATACTTGCGTTTTACAGGCGCAGCCGCTCGTTGGATCCTGTAAATGCAGGCGTCTATCCAGAATAACACACAGATATCGCGCGCTTCTCTGCTCATCTCCGCTTTTGCCTTCGATTCGCAACTTCTCGAAGATCTTTACGCTGGAAATTTCTTCGTGAAGTTTACGAGCTCAGTTTTCGATGTGTTCATCTCAATTTGGCTCATGTTAAAGCACGCCACGACCATCCTGTCGAGGTGGATCTGCAGTTGCTTCTTAACCACCTCACTTGAGAACGAGTGTGCCTAAATTGCGAAGATACCCAGTACCTACATTTGTTCCCTAGAACATGGGAAAGTCTTGCGTGTACAAATTGGGCCAAATTGGACACTTTTGAAGGAAAACTCCTGTTTCCAAACTAGATAGATGAAAACTTGATGGCTGTTTCTGAAGGTAAAATTTTAGGACAAACTTAATGATGAAAACCGCATATCGATATCCATCATCTCGACTTCTCTGCTCCACAATAGAATGAGGATTCGTCTGTCCAAATACGATTCAATGAAAAATCATGCACTTGGTTACAACTTTCCAGGAACCACTGGCAAAAAGCCATGCGGCGTTCAAAAGCTCCTGGTCTGAGTTGATGAACTCTTCTTGTCCTGTATTGTTTGAATTTGTGTTTTGTTCAAAATCCTCCTAATGTTACTTCTTGGTAGGCCTGTTGATATTTCCAAATTTCGCGTTGACGTTTTACGATTATTTTCAACAGCTCCTACAATGACTATTTCTTCCAACAAAAACCACTGATTGAAGAACGTCTTCACTGCTTGAATCAAAATTCAATAGCAACTAGTAAAGATTTTCATTTTGTTTTATCGTCCCATCGTCCAAAGCCTACTTGATCAAAGTGTACGTTTCAAAGTCTATATAAAAAAACCTAAAAGATCTGTATTTCAAGGGTGCTACATTTTTGGAAAGGTAATTTTAAGCTCTATTGATATATGCAGGAATATACAAGGTGTCTCATTGAAAAAATAGTTTTCCATCAATAACTATTGATATCTCATTTGAAAAAATATGTTTTTTACACCATTGAATTCTACTCAAAAAAATTGCTTCGAAATTGTTTTCATAAAAATAAGAAATTTTCATCATGGAAAAAGTTAAAGCAACTTTTCAAAAAACATGCTGTAACTCAGAATCGATGATGAACATCGATATGCGGTTTTTACCATTGAGTTGATCATTAAATTTGATCGTCAGACACAGTCATCAGTTTCCTTTTTAAAGTGTCTAATTTGGCCCGCTCTGTATAATAAGTACGGACACCTGCTTCAATTGGATAGTGTGCATATGTGGTTTGGTGCACTCTAACACGAAAAGCTTGGTTGCTCAGACAGGATTCAAGAATTCTAATAACGAATGAAGGCATGCCTGCCGACCACATTTCGGCGACCAACTTTTTCATCCATACGTTGTCAAAGGCTTTCTGAATGTCCAGCAGAATCATAACTGTATTCTTTCCCAGTTGGAAAGATTCCTTTATCCCGTGAACAACTCGGTCAACTGCGAGTTAGTAAACCACTCTAATAAGGTCTGCTCCGTCAGGGTCGGAACAGGTCTGTTCCTGACCATATCGGTGATCCTGGTGGAATTTTCATGCTCGATACAATCGTCGGATTTCACACGGTTGACCCCGCAAAGTATTTCCCGAACAACTGAGCCTATTGGTAGTCCACCATTTACATTGGTGGTTTTTCTCCTTCATGAGTTCAACAACGTCCATTGGAAAAATACCTCGATGCCCTTTCACCATGATTTTCCTAGATTTTTAAATGTTTCACACGAACTGCTCACAGACCATATTGAGATCATCTCTCGATATGCTGCTTTTTATAATCGATCTGAACTCCCCCTAGTCGGTGCTCTGGTAGTCACACCTTAGTCTCCTAGCTCTCGGATTATCTCTAGTAAGACTAAAGAGCACCGGACAGTACTCAGCTCGTCCACTGTGTCATTGACGTTTTTGTTGAGGACAAGGTCAATCGTGGTAAGCAACGAACTATTAAACTCGAATTTAATATTGTTATTTAGAGAGTATTCCCACAGAGTCCTCCCATTGACGTTAGGTCGATTGTGGCAGTACTACTCGCGCCACTACCAACACCTTATTGCCAATGCTCAACAAATTGTCCAAATCGTGCAGAGCGAAGTGTCCATTCGCCCGGTTATATTCTGCAGAGTACTGTCAGCGAGTTTAACACCTACGTGTTCAATGTTACTACGTTGCTGTTATATTATGTCGAAAGTACATTATCTATGAATTGATTATATTATGTAGTTCACGCGGATGAAGTCGGGAGCAAAATTTATCTTGGGATCGAACTATTTTGCAGCAAATGTACAGGTTAGCAAATTGTTCTCGGTAAACATTGCTCTTGTAATCTTGTAGGAAGATCAATCATTTACGACAAAAAATGCTTGTAGGTGGGGTCTCCCAGAAATAAATCTCGAATAGATTAACCATTTTCGACAAACAATTTCAACCTCCACCCTTCGTGTATGAAAAAAATTTCACATTACCCATAAGATTAAAAGTAAAATTTGCAGATCAGCAGAAATTCTAGCAGATCGGTTCTCACAGATATGATTTTCGACCAGAATAATCACTCCTGACCTGCAAGAATTTCTGCCGATCTGCAAAATTTATTTTCAATTTTATGAAAAATGTTTCATAGACAAAGGGTGGGAGTTGATTTTTTTTTGGGCAAAAATGAATAATCTGGTCGAGATTCATGTCTGGGGGACCCAACCTGCAAGAATTTATGCTGACCTGCAAGATTACAAGAGAAATGTTTATTGAGAACAATTTGCACACCTACAAAATACTCAAACCATCTTTCTGAAGGTAAATTCGAATGAAAAATCAATCGGAAAATTAATTTGATTTATCTGAATCAAGAATTTTCAGACTATTTGTTAGACTATAAAATTACGTTTTTTACGATATATAATCGAGGTATGATAATTTCAAATAAATAAATTGAAAGAAGCATTTTAGATTTGTCATGAACATCGAAACTTTATAAAATGCATTTTAGATTTGTCATGAACATCGAAACTTTATAAAATGAATTTCATAATTTTCTGGGTGAACTGTATTTTCCAATTTTTTTTATAGTTGATGATTA